AAAATTAATAAGATAAAAAGATACGACATGTTAACAACAAACTTTCTTGGATATAAATATTGAAGTCCATGTTGAGTTTATATTATACATATTCTAACATCATTAGTGAAACCTTTTCACCTTGACATAATAAACTTAGCTAAACATAATAAAGAAGAAAAACATAAATAAATAAGATAAGAACATAATTATATAAGTATAGTAAAGGAGATAAAAGACATAAATAAGAGATTAATGAAAGTAAAACTTAAGCATTACAAAAATAAAAAGAAAGAGAGCAAGAACATGATCTTGATCTAAAAATCAAGATGCCTATATCCACGGCAAATGCCTCCTTTTATAGATAAAAATTTAAAACTATTAATTTGATGATTAATTATTGAGTGAGTGACTAACTCTTGACTTGATGACAATCTTTATCTTCTTGTCCAAACAAAATATCATTATTAATATTAGAATTTGAACAAACTTGATTCATGAAATTCTAGAAAATGATCTAAGCTTTCCAATAAAAAAAATTAAGGTTATTTGGACTTCTAGAACTCGAGATATGACTGAATACTAAATAGTGTAATTTGGACTTCTAGAACTCGAGATATGGCTGAATACTAAATAGTGTCTAGGCTATAGGAAAGATTCTGACTTCTCTGTTGTTGTTATAATTTGAACTTAAAAATGACCTTTTTGAATCTTGCATTCCCATAAAAGTTTTAGACCTATGTCTAAGCTTTTCATCCATATAGAGCGGACCCAAATCTAAGTTCTATAGCTCTAGATATGACCGAATAACTTAACAGTGTTCTAGTTTAGACTAGACTAGTATATATTTTCTAAGTTTAGCCATCTCTTTTGTCTTCTCAATTTCAGTAGTTAAACTCATTAATCAATCCTTTTATTTATGTGATAGGCTTACATTTAAGATAAATATTTATCATAAATTAAAGTTATCTTACATTATTAGACATGTTAATATAAAACGTGCTCTAATTAAGGAGTTATTGATACTTCAAGTATAAAATGATGACATAAAATCTTGATAAAAATACACTTTTAAGTACTAATCAGTGGTTAAGTTGTTGCACTATATTGAACTTGAAGATATGTTTCATATGGCTACGAAAATAAAGAGGCAGTTTAATAGTAAGGATAGTACACTTCAATGAGATAACTTGGATTGGATTTTTTTCCAACTTAAAGGTTGAGTTATAAAAAAGAAAAGGCTACAACATCAAAGCCGAATATTATGGGCAACAAAGTTGAATCATCTAAGGCTTGGAGGAAAGATTTGGCCACTAAAACAAAAGGTAAAGCCAAGTTCCCATCTAATTGTAATTGTGATATTAAGTGTTTCAAGTGTCTGGGGAGTGAACATATAGCTTCATAATGTCTAAAAAAAAAAATTATAGTTATAAAGGAGCATGGAGGTATTAAATCCAAAGTGACAAATTCGAGGATGAGATGCCACCACTTGAGGACTGTGATAATATTGAGTATCTAGTTGATAAAAAGGCTTTGATGATTTGAAGAACACTTAATGTTGAGATTAAAGAAGATGATGTAAAGTAACAAAAAGAGAACATGTTATATGCTAGATGTCATATAAATAATGAGATATGTAATGTAATTATTGATAATAAGAGTTGTGTTAATTTTGCTAGTATTATATAATGATGCATGAGATTTTTTTTTATAATACAAAGCATTAAGTCAATAGGCATAATTTTTAATTCAACTATTAGATTAAACTGAAATTTTACTAGAAGATTCTAGAAGTTTTATTTCCTTTCGGGTTATAATTTCATACCTATAAGAATTTAGGAAGGCCTAAAGTTATTGTTCAATATTTGTTATATTTTTAAAGTTAATTTAGGATTTTTTTTCTATTTGGATTTATAACTCTTTTATTACTTTTTAGGAGTATTGTTCATAGCACTAAACGTTTTTTAGCCTCTAAATTTGATATTAAAAATATGGGTGAAGCTAGTGTAATATTGGATATTAAAATTATAAGAAGGAACAATGGTATAATGTTAACACAAGAACATTATGCAGAGAAATTTGTCAAAAAATTTAATTATTTTGATGTAACATTTTGTGAGTACTTTTGATGATGCTAACACTCAATTAAAAAAAATAAAGGTGAAGTTGTTACTTAGCTTGAGTATACTCAGATTATTAGGAGTCTGATGCATCTGCACTCGACCTAATATAACATGCATCTGATATACACAAAATCTCAATCATGACCAGTGGATGGCAACAGTCCAACTAATGAAATATTTGAGAGTTACCATGGACTATGTATTTTATATAGTGGATTTCCCATTGTATTATAAGAATACAACAATGATAATTGAATTTCATATTAAATTGAGATTAAATCCACTAGTGACTATATCTTTACTTTTGTTGGTGGTGTAGTGCCTTGAAATTCATCCAAACAAAGTTTAATCGCTCGATCCACCATAAAGTCAAAATTCATAGCCTTGAAATTAATAGGAAATAAAGCTGATTGGTTGAGGAATTTTTGAACTGAAATTCCATTAGAAATAAAATCAACACCTTTTATATCCATGCATTGTGATTGCCAGGTGACAATAACCATTGCTATGAATAAATCTTTAATGATAAAAGTCAACATATTTTATTAAAACATGATGTTATAAAAGTAGCTGCTAAAAAATAAAATTATTTCAATTGATTATGTAAAGTTTGAAATGAATTTAGGCGATCCTCTAACTAAACCACTTGATAGAAAGATGGTATTAGAAATATCGAGGGGAATGAGACTAATGTTTAAGTGAGAAATCAAAATAATGGTAACCCGTGACTGTTAGAAAATTAATTTTAAGAAAAGGCATGATATTTTACCATGCCTCCAATACTTTTAATTTAGGAGATTATCTTGGGTCCAATACAACATAAAACACCGTAATCTTTAAATCCAAGTGTTTTGGGCCTAACATTATTTCCAGATCCATGTTTGTCTTGTGTTAGATTGATTGTCAAACCCAAGTATTTTGAATGTAGCATATTCGCCAAACCCATATTTCTTTGGGTCTGGTGTGATTGCCAAAACTAAGGGTTTTGTATATATCGAGGTCACCAGACCTATATCAAAGTTCAATATATAAATCTTAAATAAAAACCTTTTGAAATAATCTTTATTATTTATAACAATTTCCCGTATATTTTAAAAGAGTTTTGAAATAAAAAATACATACTTACCGAACTTCTATATATAGAGTGTAATGCATCTAACTAGGTGTATTTTGGACTAAAAGACAGATCATATAAAAAATATGATTTAACTTCCAGAATTATTGGTGAAATTTTTAATTTTTATGAATAAAAAATTCTTATTGTAAGTTAGGTATCTCACCAATCATATTATACCCCTATAATCTCTTTCTGTTTGACTCGGTTTTGCGCATAAAAGATCATATACATGCCTGATTGTTAATGAGTGCTCTAAAGATTTTGCTACTATCTCATAAGAGCGGCCTCACTCCACACTTAATCTATCAAGTGTTCACTACAATTTAAACACTATTTATAAAGAATATGAAACTCATTAAAAACTTTGTAATTCTTTTTTAATTGTAGACTAGTACTATACTCACACCATAGAAAACGACTTATTTTATAATACTATAAAATCACAAATAATTTTTTTATTATCTATGAACCTAATTCATAGAATTATGTTTTTTTAAATTGAATATTTTTTTAATTTCTTGTAAAAATTCAATGATTTTTAAGTTACATCATTATAATTACTACCCTATCTTATATGCATTCTCCTTAGATTTTAATGTACATTCTATAGTAGCGGCTTATACTAAAAATTAAAAAAAAATAGAATTTTTTACTTTTATATATCTTATATATACATTTTTTTTTCATATCCTTTTATTGCTTTTTTTTTTTTATAAAATGTCTCTCACATCATAAAAAAAAACAGTAATTCAAAAACATTAAAGAAAAATAACACGACGAGCTCATTGACTTTATACTTTTACTCTATAAAGTATATAGACTTTTAAAAAAACTCACAAACATAAAATAAAAAAAAAATTGAAAAATCTAGAAAAACAACTTTGGTGAATCCAAAAGATGAAAAACCCATGTCCATCAAGTAAAAAGTAATTCAAATATAATCTTAATAGTTTTCTTATATATATAAGAATAAATATACATTAAAACCATCAAAAGAAAAATCAATTTTCAAAATTAAAAAAAAAAGAATGAAAAGTTAATTTAAAAAAAAATCAATTTTCAAAATTAAAAAAAAAATGAAAAGTTAATTTAAACAAAACATGAGAACCCAAATAACATAAAAAATAAAGAATTAAAAAGCCTAGAATAAGAATTAAAAATAAAAATAAAAACCATGTCCACTAAGCATTATAAATAAAAATATATCTTAGCAATAAAATAATATTCATAGAATATGGGATTTTCTAGATTTTCATTAATTACCAACGTTTTTACTTTTATGTGTTTTTCAATTTTTTTCATTTTTACAAGTTTTTGGGTTTTTCCACGTTAAGATTTTGAAAATAATTTACCTTTTTATATGTTTTAAGAATTAAAATTTCTTTCAATTCAAGGGATTTTTTTATGTAATAATAATAATTAAAAAAAGAATGACAAAATGATGTTTAACTGAGAATAAAAATAAACTTAAAAAAATATTTTGAAAAATAAAAATAGCTATCGTTTATTAAAAAATAAAAATAACTATCATTTCTTATGTTTAACTGAGAATAAAAAAGATTTTGCTTTTAATATTCCGAGATGGACCCCACATCTTCGATTAGCTAACCGTTTGGGCTGACAATATTTTGACCGTTACAATCAATCGTTTTTTAAATCTTCATTTCAAAAATCTAACCCTAACACTCCCCCAGTTATAACTCTTTCCACTCCATTTCCTCCTCCTATGGAGGGCACTACTTTGGATTCCAGCGGAGTGCAAGAAGCAAAAAGAGGGCTGACACTGGCACTAAACTTTGAAAGTCATCTTCCCCGCTTTACTAGAAACCGTCCGATCTAAATCCAAATCAATGGCTCGTATTTGCCACCAAGTCAGTCAAACTTGTGATATTGATCTTCCCTCTCTTCCCATTTCTTTTCTTTAGCTTCCATTCTCTTGTCCAAACCCTTCTTGCCATCCATTTTTCATCAAGATCCAAACTTTCTTGCATTTTGATAAGTTTCACCAACTGGGTCACTGAAAAACCCGTCAGGGCATGTTTGGATAGAGAGAGAATTTACAATGCCAGTGTCAACAAGGTCTAAAGCCATCAGCCAAGAACAAAATGGCCCAAACCCAAATCTAAAAACAAGACCACCCAGCTACTCAAATCAAGAAGACAGTAACATGGATGTTCTGTTGAGAAATCCACATCATGGCTTGAAAGAAAAGATGAAAGCTTTAACCCTCTTGTATGAGCAGCAGAAGAAATCTTCTTCAACTTTAAGGAACCTGTCTCCGAAACCTGAAGAGAAGCGATTCTCAACACATCCGAGTGTGGATCTTCTGAATGGTTGCAAGAGAGAAGAGAAAGATTCAAAAGAAACAAAAGATCCAAAACAAAACAATATAATGAGAGACAATGCATTGCCTACAATGCCAACATTGCCCAGTGCAAAGCCTATTTCTACAGTGACAAGAACCTTTGTGTTACCAGAACCACCTGTTGATGATGCCAAGGAGAATCTTGTGATGGGTCCGGATCGGGTTATCAGGTTTTTAACATGTCCAAGAAAGACTAAAGACTCAGGTACGGTGGCGAGGAAGCTTTCAATGGAGAGCTCACAGACAGAGCCGAAAGGGTTTATTGGGCCTAAGAAAGTGCAAGAAAATGAAAGATTGGAGACTGTTTCCGGTAAAAATGATGCAAGTGGAAGCCGGATTTTGGTGTTTGTGAGGCTTAGGCCAATGGCCAAGAAGGAGAGAGAGGCTGGTTTGAGGTGTTGTGTGAGGATTGTGAATAGGAGAGATGTTTATCTGAGTGAGTTTGCTAACGAGAATGATTATCTTAGGCTAAAGAGGCTCCGTGGACGGCATTTTGCATTTGACGCTGCATTTCCAGATTCAACATCTCAAAAGGAAGTTTACTCCACCACGTGAGTGCTTAAAAAAACAAAAACAGCTTTAATTAGTTTTACATGGATTTGTTTCTTTTTGGTTCTGCAACACTTTTATGCTTCTTTGGTATTGTGCTTTTGAATTATTCATTATATTTGTGTTTGTTTTGGTGATTAGTATAGTTGGCTCATTTTCGGCACTAGTTTTTCGGTTGCTAGAGACAAAAATTGAGTTCTGAATTTTATGGTTCCTGTGCACAGTTTGAATTCACCATAATTATAATATTTGATTTGGTAATTTGGTAGTTAGCCCATTTTTTGAAATAAGTTTCGGGTACTAGAAACACAATTTTGAGAGCTGAATTTTATGGTTCTCGCTGCAATCTCTCTGTTAATGTTGTCTAAGACATGTCATGGTATTTGTACTCGAATATGGGATCACTTACCAAATCTCTGCTAAATATTTGAAGAATGATAAAGTTAATGAATCTAATGATTCAATGGAGTCGCTGTATAGCGAATCACATTATGAACAACTTAGTGTTGTTGTTAGTTTCCTACCTCGAATTTTCTGAGCAACCAAACAGAATATAAGGTTTTCCTGTCGGAGAAACTGCAGCTCAATTATTTGTCCCAGCGTTTCATTTTCACAATATGAAACGTCAGGGGACCGTATGTGTGTATGTGATAGATTGCTTAACCGACAAGATGGGTATCCATTTGAATTGCATTTTCAGGACTGCAGATCTTGTAGAACAAGTATTGCAAGGAAGGAATGGATCAGTGTTCTGCTATGGTGCCACAGGAGCTGGTAAAACATATACAATGCTGGGGACAGTAGAGAATCCAGGAGTGATGGTTTTGGCAATTAAGGATCTTTTTACCAAAATTAGGCAAAGAAGCTGTGATGGAAACCATGTGGTTCACCTCTCATATCTTGAAGTTTATAATGAAACTGTCAGAGATTTGCTCTCTCCAGGAAGGCCTCTGGTGCTTCGAGAAGATAAACAGGTCTGCACTCTATTTTTCTGAGTAGAAAACAACTAAATTTTCTGTTACTCTAGTTGGAATGACCCTGTGCCACTTAGGATGTTTTATAGAGAGAGTTCCTCTTTTCCTTGAAAGACCTGGTTGGTTTATCTTTTTTCCCTGTTATATTCCCCTAACGTAGGCCATAACATAAACGCTCCCTCTTTTTCATTCTTTTCCAGGAAGAATTCACATATTCACTATGTTTAATCATCTGGTATAGGCATAACATAATTTTGATGCAAGTAAATGTTAAAGGAGATTATATCATGATCTTCCTCTAGTCCAGCTCATCAGGATTGGATCCCAGCAATGAAACATGATAATTATTCAACTTACATCTGTCATTTTAGATTTGATATGCTGTTGACGACACTCGTTTCAATGTAACAGGGAATAGTAGCAGCAGGTCTCACTCAGTACAGAGCTTATTCCACTGATGAAGTAATTTCCTAATTCCATAAATTTGAACATTTAAGATATGATAAAGTTCAAACTCTTCATAAGCGAGTATATTGGAACGTCTTACTATTTTGCCCTGTATTGTGGCAGGTGATGGCATTGCTTCAGCAAGGAAACCAAAACCGAACCACTGAACCAACTCGTGCCAACGAAACCTCTTCACGATCCCATGCTATACTGCAGGTAATATCTGTTTCTTTACGTTCGTATATATTGCTCTAGCATGCACAAACACGCACATGGTCCTTTTTTTCTTGTATTTTTGATGTTTTAAAGTTTGGCTGTGCTCTTTTCAGGTGGTTGTTGAATACCGAGTTAGAGATGCTTCCATGAATGTTGTCCAAAAAGTGGGAAAGCTGTCACTCATTGACCTTGCTGGCTCAGAGAGAGCCCTTGCAACTGATCAGAGAACACTTAGATCACTTGAGGGTGCCAATATAAATAGGTCACTTCTTGCACTAAGCAGCTGCATCAATGCCCTTGTAGAGGGTAAGAAACATATCCCATACAGAAATTCAAAGCTCACTCAACTTCTCAAGGATTCGTTAGGAGGAGTTTGTAACACTGCAATGATTGCAAATATAAGTCCAAGTAATCTCTCGTTTGGGGAAACTCAAAACACTTTGCATTGGGCTGATCGAGCTAAGGAGATCCGAACCAAGGTCATCCTTTTAGCTGATCATCTGTTCATGTTCATTATATTCCATACTAATTGCAATTTTGACTATTATTCCATTAGGAATAGCTCGTATCTGTTTTCCTAATGAGGATTCATAATGGTTTTTCTGCACTATCCACGATGAAGTTTACTGCCTAGAGATTCTGCTATAATAAAACTATAATTTGGGGGATAAATGCTTTCTTACCTCTCATTTTAATTACAGGCATGCGAGACTCTAGAAGAAATACAGTTACCAGAATGTGAAACTGACCAGGCCAAGCTGTTGCTTGAAGTGCAGAAAGAAAATCGCGAATTGCGAGTGCAATTAGTACACCAACAACAAAAGCTACTTTCACTCCAGGCACAATTGTTGGCTGCAAATACTTCTCCAACTCCTCCTTCAATTACCTTTACTCAGACTCCTCCATCTACTGCCAGACCAATTGAAAAAAGGAAAGCTAGACCCTCTTTCTTAGGTGGGAACTGTTTCACACCAGAATCAAGAAAAAGGGGCGCAGAGGAAGCAGTCAGAGAGCTTCGGCAGACTGTCAAGGCATTAGAGGCAGAAATTGAGAAATTAAAGAAAGATCAAGCTACACAGCTAAAGGAGAAGGATGATCGTATACATGAGCTTTCTCGAAAGAGTGAAAAGCCATCAGCAGGAGGAACAATGCAAGGAGCAAAGAGGGTAGTGACAAGAGCTAGTTTGCGGCCAAAGGAAAAAACCAATGGTGAATTGAAGAGTCCAAGCCACCGGTTCAAGTCCCCAATTCCAACAGCAAAGAAAAGAAGCTTTTGGGACATAACAACAGCTAACAGCCCATCAGTTGCTACACTAAACGGAAGAAAAACTAGAAGTCATGTCATTCCTGATAACACTGCTGCAGCTCCATCCTTGCTTCTTCAGGTATCATGACCTTATAATCTCTCTTTTAGTTCATGTCATAGGCTCCAAGGATTCTTGCAAAACATTCTAATATATAGAAACAAGGGTGGTCCAGTTATTGTCTAGATGTGTCTTCTATGGATATGAGTTTCTTTTTCTATAACTGACGCAGCTTGCAAATGCAAGGAGCAAAGAGGGTAGTGACAAGAGCTAGTTTGCGGCCAAAGGAAAAAACCAATGGTGAATTGAAGAGTCCAAGCCACCGGTTCAAGTCCCCAATTCCAACAGCAAAGAAAAGAAGCTTTTGGGACATAACAACAGCTAACAGCCCATCAGTTGCTACACTAAACGGAAGAAAAACTAGAAGTCATGTCATTCCTGATAACACTGCTGCAGCTCCATCCATGCTTCTTCAGGTATCATGACCTTATAATCTCTCTTTTAGTTCATGTCATAGGCTCAAAGGATTCTTGCAAAACATTCTAATATATAGAAACAAGGGTGGTCCAGTTATTGTCTAGATGTGTCTTCTATGGATATGAGTTTCTTTTTCTATAACTGATGCAGCTTATCCATGTTTCTGGTTTGTGTTCATGTTTGGACCACACATCGTCAATTATATCATTCAGCCAGGTTTTGCTCGTCAACGACCATGACCATTTGAAGCAGACGCATTAACAAGAAAACGAGCGCGCAGCAAATTGCAAATTAAAGAGATCAAAAGAAGAGGAGGCGGCTATTTCATTGCTCCAGTTAGTGTGATCAAAGAAATTCAAGATTATTTGTATTTCTTCTAATCATGTTTTTTTCTTAATTATTCTTTAGTATTTAACCGTGTCCATTTCTATACTGAATTCAATCTTACATTTTTGACCAGGCTTCATTTGTTGTCAAAGTTTGTGCTTATTTTGGTTTGCCGATGACTTAAATAACATTCATACTTGGTAAACCACGTACATGTGATTGAGTTTTCATATCTCAAATCCCTTCCCTGGATTTGACAAGAAAAAAATTTCTATTTGCCTCCCCACCATAATGTTGTATTCCTTTTCATATCGTTTTTTCTGCTCTCAAGGTATATTTTTATACGATTTCAATTTCCCACGAAGGCATAACTTATTATTATATAATTTTCCTGCCTTGAAGGCACAATTTAATCGATAGTTTTCGATATCATTTTCCCACCAAATAATCAATATCATTTGAAATTTATAAAAACAACTTAAATTTTATCATTTACAAACAGTAACTTCACAATTAAAGAAATAAGAGCAAATTCTTGCCTGGATGATGCGAATTAGTAACTATCACTAAAAGATTTATTAGAGATCCCAATTGGATATATTAAAAGTTTGAAACTAAGTGGATCCTAAAGTAATTGATTGGTTGATTCTAGATATTTAGCCTACTAAATTGTAAATTTACCAATCTAGACTATTGTCTACTATTTAGATCACATCTAAAGTTATAAATGATATTTTATTATGATTTAATTGGATTAAAAACTAAACATATAAATATTTCCATCAATATATAGTATGCCTAGTAATTTATTAAAATAAAAGAGAGACGTGTTTGAAGTAAGGTCAAAAGTTTCTATACAAGTTTTGCTATTTGTTTTCTTATAATTTGTGGATTTATTATTTAGCAAGGATTCATTTTCTACAAGGAAAGCATAGATAGTAGCAATTAGAATTATTTTAGCAAGGGTTTCAATTAGCAATTTGTTTTTTTTCTTTGATGGATTTTTCATTGGCAAGGTTTTTTATCATTCAAGGACATTAGATATGGTTTTTGAACTTATTTTTTCTAATACATATTTTTACACTAACAAACATAGTTTATATTCAACCATTGAATCAGGCTAAAATTTTATCAGAAATTTCTAAAGGTCGTGTTTTATATATTATTAAAATTTTATAGCGATCAAATATTAAAAAGGCCTTATGATATGGTTCGGAATCTAATATACAAGAATTGTTTTATTTTTCTAGTTGATTGATGATTTTTTTTATTTAGAAATCTTTTATTATTTCGCTGGACATGTTTAAGACTTTTTATCTATTATAAATAGAGTTATTTAGCTTGTATCTAGTTTTTTTTATAAAATTTAATTTTAAGATAATCTATTATGTGATTGTGAAAGGATTCTTTTAATTTTGTTCTTCATTGAACCACTCTAGTTTATTAAAGAATTAAACAAGCTTTATGATATCTTTTACATTTGTCTTTCTTTATAAGTGTTGGGTGGGGGTTTAATTTATATAGTCTTGGAGCCTCAATACAGGTTATCATTATGTCAAGCTTATTTACAAGCTTAAATTTTACATTCTTAGAAAGAGTCAATTTGACTATGAATTTTTGGATCATTATTACCATGGGGTTCGCATAAGTTGGAAATAGAGTAAAACTCTAAAATTATGTTATATCCCTTTATCTTTTAGTTTTCATGCTATTTCATGGTTGTCATCATCTAAAACCTAGTTATCATCTAAAACCTAGTTGTGGAAAAGTTACAAAAGAAAGATTATTTGTGATATGGTTGTCTATTGAAAACAAAGAAGAAATGTCAAAGAAATAGCATAATAGAAAAAGGTAGGGCTTAGGCTGTAAATTTGAGTTTTTCATCAAATCTTGGATTCAACAACTCAAATATGAGAATTCTTGATTCTTGGGATGTCTTAGTGTCAAATCTTGATTTTGAGATTATTCAAACATACTTTAATGGGTTATTTCTAAGAATTACAAAAAAAAATTCATAATTAGCAGCTTTGTGCCAAAGAAAAACTCTTTTGTTGTTGGTTTCGAGTTAACTGTACATAATTTAGTCTAAAAAAACATATTTGCTTAGTTTAGGTTATTTGAGTCTTATTTCATTAGTTTTCTTATTCTCGCTAATTTTTTTGTCTTCGTATCGTTCATATTTCACATGAATTCACTTTATATTCATAATTTTATATTCATAGGTTTCGTATTGATATGTTTTTTTTTTCTTCTTAAGTCTATATATTATTTTAGATTGTGCCGCTAAGTTAATTTTTTTGATTTGTTATGAATTAGTTTCTTAAAAAAATAAAGTTTTGAAATTGAGTAGTAAAAGGCAAAAAATGAGCTTATTACAGTGAAAAGCCAAAATAGTGTGTGTGTGTGTGTGTGTGTGTCATAAGAGAAGTGACATCTATTGAGTGTGAGAATATATTTTCATGTGTGTGTGTGTGTGTGTGTGTGTGTCACAAGAGAAGTGACATCTATTGAGTGTGAAAATATATTTTCTTGATATTAACATGATTTTTAGATCCTGACAATGTTAATCGAACATGGATCACTACCATCAAAGGATAAGAATAATCCAAAATGGGTTTATTTTGCCATACAACAATAATTGGTGATGATGAACATGAGATTCAAAGAGTTTATGAACAAGATGGTTGAATTGAGAACCAATTTAGCTAGCTATTGAGACGGGTTAGTTTGTAAGGATCTTAAGTGTAGAAGGCCTATGAGACGAGCTATTTCACCTTCTGAGGAGTTTATAGCTCAAAAAATGAATGAAAAATATGGTCTATAATATAATCTAATTCAGGTTTTATGAAACTTGTTTTGGAATTGAGTGTTTTGTATTAAATTTATGATAGTGGCATGAGATGGGTAATAGCTAGAGTGAAAACATAGAAAAATTGAAAGTAAATTAAAAGGGGAATTACTCACATATAGGATGATCTTGAGGAGAACTTGGTGGGAGATTGAAATTTTTTTTTAATATTATAATATTGCATGTTGATTTAATGAGTAAACATGAGAAATTGTGTTTAGAATTGAAATTATGGTTGGTTATGTTGATTTCATGTTATATTATATGCAGGGAAAATGTAAAGATGGAACCTTGGAAACCTTAAATGTGTATGTATTAAACTGAAGTAGAATTATAGGTTAAATGTATAATGCATGAAAATTAAGAATTATGAAAAATTTAAAAGTAAGCATGATTGCTATATTATGGAAGTTAAAAACTATTCTAATTGTATATAAAATTATTAGAATTTTATATGGATAGTGTTTTGATATTAAAGGAAAGATGTATGGATTACAAATTGTGGATATTATGATAAAATTGTGAATGTTGTTAACAATTGGTCAAAATATTAGTTTAGTAAATTTTGAAAAATTTAGAAAGTGACCTTAATGGTTTGGTTAAATTTATTGACTTTTAGGTCACATATTAATATTTATATATTTTAATGGTTACAATTAAATAAAAATGAACTAAGTTAAAATTAAGTTTAAACATGTTTATATGAAGAATATCAACAAACATGAAGAATTAAATGAAAAAAATAAATAAACAAGTCCAAGATACAAAGAAAATAAAGACTTAGTTCTTGAGGATTTACTTTAATGCTAATTATGTAAATCTTTATATTTTACTTGATATCACAAGTTAAAATGAATTCATACACTTTGCATTGCATGCATTATAAGATTGATATGTATTTAGTCGATTCAAAATTCATCAGGTTTAAAATGATCATATCTGGGTTTTAAATTGAACCGGTCGACCGTTTGTTCATCAAGAATAAACACCTAAGAATCTATAAAAGCATGCCAGCTGATTATCCTGACCAATATAAGCTGATCAACCATTTCATCAAGGTTATAAAACAACTAATTTTTGCTACAAACATATATGTAGCTTATCTAATTGAAGAATTAGATGCAAAATTTGAATATATATATTATATACAAGTTATTTTAAGAGCAAAAATAACTTTAGATTATCAATTATAAATCATACTCATATCATATTTGTGCATTAAAACCTTCATATTCTTACACAAGAGTATAAATTCTCACATTCAATACACTTAAATACCTTCATACATTCTAAGTGTTATTTTATGAGTTATAAAGATATAAACTTTAATTTTATTGTCTAACTTTGAGAGAGTGTTGCTATATTTCAAATAATTGTAATCCTTTAAAAGTTTAACTAAAAAACTCTGTCATTGGTGAGATATATCACTAAGATAAAAAAAAAAAATCTTAAAGAGAGTATTTCTTCAAGTGATGAAAAAGGGCTTAGTGAAGATTCATTAAGGATATTATAATTTTTGGATTGGATTAATGAATAATACAATACTTAAGACTGGTTTAAGCTTGAGGTATGGATGTAAGCTTACTGAATCATGTTAAAAACCGAGTTTGCAATTTCTATCCCTATACTATTTACTTTAAGCACTTTAATTTTATTGTAGGTTAATTGTGTTTATTGTGTTTAATTGAGTTGATTGCAATGTTGGTTATTATTAGTGTAACACAAAGTGATTATTGTCTTAATCCTATAACAACAAAATTATGTTATGTCAATGTTATATATGCAAGGTGGTGATTGCGAATAAGATTAGATTTGAAATGATTCTATTTGAGATTTAAATTAAAAAGAACAGCATATAAGTAAGTTAACATGTTTTATGAAACTAGTGATATGAAATGTTAGTATTTATAAGGGGTGTATAAAATGGATTGATATGTGTTAATACAACATATATGGGGAGATTGTGTATGTTTGGATGGGAATTAGTTATGGTAAGGTGTAATGACATCTTGAAACTAAGAATTTCTATGTTTAAATGTAAATGGGTGACAAAAAATAACTAGATTGATATATTAATGTGAACATGTGAAATTAGATGTATGCAAGCGTAATTTGGTGATTTGAGAATATGAAAAATTATATGTTCAAAAGTTAAGACATGTCATGAAATTTAAATTATAAGTATAAAAATTTAATGAAAATGTTTGAGTTAAGTTATTAGAAATTAGGATTTATTGTATAATTGGATAATTATGGTCATGTTTTTGGAAAATATTGG